AGAAAACCAGGAAGAAGCTCTAGGGATTCAGCAATGGCACCAAAATTTCCACCAGGACTGCCTTCAGCCCAACTTCCCCTGTTTCTGGGATTTTTTTTTCTAGGAAAATTTGACTGTTCCCAAAAAAAAAGTGCAGGAAGGGAGCAGTTCTAATTCCAGATGTTTGATGCAGATATAGATATCTGTATCTATATCAAACATCTGGAATTAGATCTGCCCCCTTTCTGAACTTTCTGAAGCCAGGGCATAACAGAAACACATTTACGAATCTTTCGATCAAACCATTCCACCTACAAACTCAATTCCTTCGAGGGCCCCCAGCACTTCCTGCCAGAGCTCTCCAAGGTGGGTGGGTTGTCTTATCTGTCTTTCTTTGAATATTCCATATATTCCCAAAGCAGACTTCCTTTATGTCTGTATTCATTGCAATAACAACAACATTAAAAAAATCTCTGCGTTTACAATCAGGAGATTTCCCAAGTTACAAAAAAATGGGCTGCCAATTCCCCACCTTAACACAGCCTAAACAAGTTTGGAGAAGAGCAGCAGTATGGGGAATCTGGGAGTTGTGGTCCCCAAACCCTATCTTTTCTGAGTGATGAAAAAAACTTTTTTACAGAAGACATTTGTGGGATTGGCACAGTTGCTTTGCAGCACCTGATTTACTGCCAACTGGTTCAGCAAAAAAGCCAGGCACCCATCAAGTGGCCAAGGACAGTAAGGTTGTATCACCTGACCTTAAGGATGATGAAGGACATGCAGAAGAGCGGTCAAAGCAACGGCTCTCATCCTGCCCTGCCCAGCAGGAGTTGAAGTGTTCCTTCTGTGCATGGCTGAGTGGAGAATAAGACATCAAAGCTCTGCATTCAAAGTGACTTTGGAAAAAGGTGATTCTATAGATAACTTACTCCCTTTTGGGGCTTTTTTTCACAGACAGGAGCTATGATTGAGGCAGCCAGGATTTGAAAGCAGGGATTCTGAGATAACAAGAGAAACTCGGAAAGCTGCTTGGGACTAGTCTCGGAATGGTTTGCACTGAACGCCCTCGATTTACTCGCTGTCTATGGCAGCCCTCCCTGGCCCCATCACTCTTCGAACCAGCAGAACTAGAGCTCCAGTCAACGGAACCCTGCAGGTCCACCAGGAAGACAGGAGCTGCGGTCCAACCGCGTCAGGGAGGGGTTGCGGAACACGGAGCCGATTGGTCAGCTTACAAGTCAGACAAAAGGGAGGGCAGGCCTTACCTGTCAAACATAATGACAGAAATGCTCACCAAGCAATGGGACTAGGCAGGGATTAGGGTGCTGGCTGTCCCTCTGCACATGAGCACTCCCTTAAAGTAAGGAACAGAACCGTTGCCAATATACAAAGAGATCCGATATGGGATCTTAGCATTTATGTGGGTGGTGGGTGGGTAGTTGTTTTCGATTGTTAGCTGCCTGGAGCGATGCCGGGTCCCTAGATGGGCGGGATAGGAATGTAATTAATAAAATATGTTTGGAATGGGTGTGATGGTTGCAGATGTCACAAAGGCATGGTGGACTGGTCGCTCCCTGGAGGCCAGCACTGCAGTAGCTAAGCAGCGATAAGGAGGCTTCTCTGCACGAGAAAGCATGCGGCCTCCCAAACCCATCTGCCTTCTTGCCTTCCTCCTCTGCTACTCACAAAGGGACCCTCCTTCCAAAGAGTTTGGATACCACCTTCCCCACTTCGGAAAATCAAAATTGTCTGCCCTGGTTTTCTGCCAGTGCCTTTCGGTCGAATCTGCATCACAGGCAGACAAACCAACTTGCGGCTGGAAAACAGAATGCAGAACATGCACATAAAAGCACTCCTGAGACCATTCCAACACACAGCGGAATGTGCCGCACAATTTAAATACTTCTTAAGTCCAGAATGACAGACGTTTGTCCTGAAGGCAATCCAGCGGTTCTGCTGAAAAGGACTTTATCCAACCTTCTGCTTGGCATGTCATCATGGGCGGCTCTGCTGCCACCTTCCGAGCTAGTGGTAAATGCAGGTTTCTGTGGTGAACATGCTGGATAAAAATAGCGCCTCGGCCACAGTTCTGTCCCAGGCTTGAAAGGGTGGAGAGAGATCCGGCTTCCAAGCTTTTTCTTGTTCAGTGAAAAAGTTATGAGCTCATAGGGTGGCTCTTACTGCAGTGAGGATTCTGGAACCAAGTCTTTTTGAGAGCAGCAGAGAGGGAGGGAGGGAAAATGGTGCACATAACTCTTTTCCCACTCCACCGTATAAACCTTCGTAACAATTCCCGAGGGGTAGACTGGGGCTGCAAGCTAGTGATGGATCCTAGACCATCATGAAGTCTATGACTAACTGACAAGGGAATCTGGGACTCCACTTGGCTTTTTAAACACACCCCATGTTTTTTTTCCCAAACAGAAAATAACGAAGAAAAACCCTTTGGCCCTGAGAAACTAAGGTGAGGAAAGGGAAACTTGGAGGGGCTGAGACAGTTCACTGCTGCAGAGTTGCTGAAAGACCACAACATGCCCAAAAAAGCTTGCTACACACAGCAAAACTAAGAAGCTAACATGGGAGAAGAAGAATGTTAAAGAAAGAAAGCATTCAGAATCAAAATGATTCCAAGGCAATCCTCATACTCATTTCCTCAGCAGATTATTCTCCCCCCTGCCCCCCACCCTCCCAAATCCTCAGGGACCCCGTCCTACTGTACAATGCAACTAAAATTAGGTACCCCTCCTAATTAGAACAGTACTCTTGGGAAGAGTCAGATGCATGCTGCAGAACAGTCAAGCTAAAATAAGTAACTGTTGTCCTTGCACGGTGTCCTAGTCATGTCCAAGAACCATCCCCTGAACAGTTTCCATTGAATATTAAAGAATAATTTTATAAGGCCCTCGGACAGATTAACAGCTAATACAACCCATCACCAGTTCTTTTGTGAATTACTGTATTGATGCGCGCGCGCGCGCACACACACACACACACACACACACAAGGAGTTATTTGCAACCTTCTCTCCTCAACAAAGAGATTTGCAGGAAAATCCTGTCATTACTTTCTGTTTTCTGAGAAAGGCTGCCAGACTTTTAAGGCTAATGCATGCCTTCATCTACAAAAGTCCCATTCAGCCACAACGGTTCAACAGGAAGCACACAGGAAGGGTGGAAAACCAAAAGGTTTGTCCGCTAGACCCAACCACAAAAGACCCATTTTTTTTCCTGGTTTTGAGAGCCTGGGCCAAAAAGCACCAGCCCTCTTCCCATGCTGAAAAATATTTAGACTTCTAGCAGCTGCCATGAAATAGTAAATGCCCAGGAAAGCAAGTTACCGGGAATTTCATTGCCCAGATACTGTCAAAAAGCTAAAGGATGTCAGCATTCCAGAAGTAAAGTAATTAGGAAACGCTGAGAAGAAAACCAAAGTGTAATAATAAAATAATAATCAGGCCCGATTGTTAATCCCAACAGGAATGGATACGGAATCAATGGGGCTTCCACTATGGCTGACTTTCCAGTCAGCAATGGTTTCGATGGGTCTATTCTGGGGTTATGGGAATGTGCGTTACATAACTGGAGAAAAGAGCGAGAAGGTTTTGCCTTTTGTCATCACAAATGGGCCCAGGAGCGCCCGTGAAGCGTGACTGCAGGAGAGGTTAAAATGGAAGTATTCTTTCAAACAAGGCAGACCCGTTCGTCGCTCGTCAGGACAGACAACTGCACGGAGCTTCTGAATTCAGAGGCAGCTACCTCTGGAAAGGGACGCGGGGCCAGCAAACCTCCCCATCGTGTTCTTGACCCATTTCAGGAGGCAGTTGGAGAGCAGAGGAACTAAGGATTCAGGCACAGATCAGGGGCAGGCGGGCAGGGGAAGCTTTGGGTACAGACCAAGGGCAAAGATTTCCTGACCCTTACCACCACCCCCCATGACCTGACACAGCAAAGGCTCTGTGACAGCCTTGCCAATGACCCCCTTTTTTAGTCCACGATTTCTTCGGGGGGGGGGCACCAGGAACCCTGCTGGCTTTGCGCCCATGCCTTTGAGGGAGAGACAAGAAATCACGGCCACTCCACCTGGGCACCATGGAGGGTCAGCCTTTTAATAAGGACTGTCGTCTGTTGGGTCTACTTTCAATCGTTTTTTAATCGATTAAATCCTTGCTCTTTAATAGCAGTTACTTTCCTTTGGAGCTCTTGGCTATGCGATGCTATCATTACATTTTATTGCGTGAACCACCCAGAGCGACCACCGGCCAGAGATAAGCAGTATAAAAATGGAATGAATGAAGGAGTAGGCAAATAAATAAATAAATAAGCAATAAATAATAGGGGGAAGGAGAGAAGTTCTGGACTTGATGCGGTGGGACTCCTGCACCGATGCCAGCCCTGCTGCATCTGGGAGCAATTACCTCATTATGCAATTACTGTATACTTAATTATAAGGTGGGGTGAGGAGGGGGGGTCGTGCATCTCCTTCTAAAAGATAAACTTTTTTTGGGGGGAGAAGGTCAATGCACCTTGAGT